CAGAGAACCTCTCTCCTTGTGAAACCAGCCCAAAGAAAACTCAGATTTAATCAGAACTGGTTTGCCTCTCCCTGTGTCAATCAAAGCTTTTCTATTGATAATCTGAGGAGAACAGGGTTGAGAACACAAAGTCTACTTTTGTATTATTAAGATGAAAAGATTCTGCTGAGGTTTGATAACACTGGAGATGCAGAGGCTGTTACAGGAACATAATGAATATCAAATATATCTGCAAAAAGGACTTTTTTATCAAGATCAAGTCCTGATGAAAAATGCCACTTAATCTTTATTTTACATCAGACAGGTTTAAAGACTGCAAGTCATGAATGTAGATCTGCATTTAATGGAAGTATTTAGTTTAGAATACTCTGTGCTGAAATATGAACCTTGAATTCAATTGCTTCTCATCTGATTTAAAAAAAAAAAATAGACTTATTAATTTCATATTCAAATTCAGAATGCTCTATTAACAAATTATAATTTACCAGTAGATGTCACAACCTTATTGGTAAATCTGTATAAATTGTCATTCCAAATGAATTCTGTTGCATTTGAACTCATTTCAGTGGAACTAATTTTGTTTGTTGTTTGTTTTAAAATTATTTCTGGAAAAGAAAGTGTCTGACTAGTCACTTTTAATTTATAAATCTCAGAAGTACTGGGTTCTGTGAGAGACAAAATCAGATTTGGTACAATGAAGCAAGAGTTGTCATTAAAAGTGTTAATTTTATATGCTGGATCAATGACTGGTCAGTTTTTTGTTTGGTTGGGTTTTTTTTTAGGTAGGATAGAATTATTATTCCGTTGTTAATTTTTTAATTGCTTTATGTTTAGGCTGTTGTTTATGAAGGAGAATGAGTAGCTGGAACAGGATGTTCCACTTCTGATCAAAAAAATGTTCTGTGATGGGAATTCTCAAGTGACTGTATCACAATCTTCCACAGGGGCTGTGGAAGATTGGCTTACACTGTTTGTGTTCCAGGACTTGTGTGTGGCTGTAAGCTTTGTATGGATTTTCTTTTCTGTAATTGTTTTTCCTTTAGCCATCCTGTGGCCTGAGATTGGAAGAAAAAGATAAAAGGTCAGAAAGGCTTAATAGCAATTTTGTTTTTTGAAAAGGAGAGACTGGTTGATCCAGCTTAAATCTTTACAGCTGGATCAACCAATAACTTGAATTACAGAAACAAATGACAACTTGAAAACTTCATGGGTCAGCTCCACAGCAGCTGTAACCAGGAGAGTGAGAGGGAAAGGTGAATCCATGGGACATATGGTCGTAATATTTTGAGAGGATGTGCAAAACAGATAGGTGGGAATGGAAAACACCTTCCTTACCATGTAAACAACAAAGAAAATAAACCTGAATTTTGTCACCTTGCTGTTTGGTGTGTGGTTGAGGATGATTGGGGTTCTCTCAAGGAGAGGCAGGAGTGTGTTGGCTGTAGCCCATGGGGTTTATGGAGCCACATCCAGGTGCTGGTGAGATCTCACCAAAACAATGGCCAGAGCAGATCCCTCTCACATACCAACATTTTGTGAATATTTCAGGAGAAGTCCTGAGGTGATGCTTTCCTTGTAACTATCTTTGGGTTCCTTTTATTGTCTTTTGCACATTTAGAGCAGAAATGCTGAGAGAGGGGATGAGGGAAGGTGTGCCAGGCCTGGATATCTCCTGGCAGGGCAGGGCAGAGAGGACAAGCAGAGCACCAACAGCCCTGCCCTTCACTTGGGCTGATGGAATTCTGCATGTGGAGACAGACACTCGGAGTGATTTCTTCCAAGTGATAATAGTTTCCGTTTTGAATGACTATAAAGGTAACAGAAATATATATTTTTTTATGAAAGAGGTTGGAATTCATTTCTTCTGTAGGAGGTGAAGACAGGGAGCCACACAGAGAGAATCACTGCTGTAGCTCACACAAGCTGCAGTGAGTCACTCGAACGCTCTTTCCTCTGGGTACTGTGGGAGGTAACTATGTGAACACTTGGCTTTCAGATAGCTGAGGCTGAGTAAGATGGATTCTGAAATCTAATACAAAAATAATTTTAAAAACCAGGGCTCACAAAGCTGAGAACATTTTGAAGCCATGACCTTCAGTCCTGTAGGCAGATTGCTCTCGGTTAGAAAGTTGAGGCAATTAAAAGATGGATAGCACTGAGAGGAGTTTTTAAAGTATTGTACTCAGATATTTTCACCTCCACTGACTCTACTGTTAGGGTGCTTGTTCCATGTATGTTGTTCAAAGTCGTTTGAAATATTACTAAATTTTACTGTGTAGAGAAATATTAAATCCTCTGATAAATTTCACCTTATCTCTCTAGACTAAATTGATATGCAATTGATATGCTGTGTTAAAATGATCATATTTTCTTGCCATTAATTTCTCCTTATAAAAGCCTTTTTTAATCTGTATTTTCACCAGTTTGACTCACCTGCTTTAATCTTTGCCATAAGCTGACAAAGACCCAAGTGCATTCATTCTGCTTGTTTATTTGGCATGCCAGTAACAACCAGTATAAACACGGTGAGGAAAGGGGCTGTGGGGAGGTTCAGTGAGGAGGCACATGCCTCAGACAAACTGCAGGAGATCCTGCTTCATTCCAGCAGAAAGAAAACCATGAATCAGGAGAAAGTGAGAAATGTTGTCCTCAGGCAGTGGATGGTGTCAGCACTCACTTTTTTTGCAAAGTTCACCCTTGCCAACACCCAGGATTTTGTTTCCTGTGATGCATCCAACCTTTGTGTCATAGCTGAGATGGAGACAATGCAAAGCAGCACACTCCATTCCCAGAAGGCTTCAAAGTGTTTTTATTCTGGCATGCATGCTTTTTATATATTCTCCCAAAGCTCATAAATTTACACTTTACTCATTGGTCACCAGAGACAAACAAAGGCAGCTGCAGGTTTCTCTTATTTCTCCTTCTTTCCTTCTTGGTTTCTGTGTCAATGACCTTGGTGTTGCCCTGATTTTTAAAAGTGTTGCGTTTTCTGTTATAGTTATTTTGAAAGTCTTAAAGTTCTTTAAAAAGTTTTCCATGCCTTCTGATGATTACATATTTCTACTAGAGTTCTCAGGCACTGTCCATGTAAATAATGATTGTTTTACATTCTTCTTTGTGGGAGGAGAGCATTGATGAACTGTTGATTTAACCAGTGTGGTTGGAGAGGTGGCAATTTCATCCTCCAATCCACTATGACTTTTAGAACACTATGTATTGCAAAGTCAGAAAGAAAAATAGCTCTTTTTCTCTTTTGAACTTACCAAGCTGCTGTGTACTCATTTTGTGTCAAATAGCGACCACCTTGGTAGGAAATTCTTTCAGGGGTGAACATGGATCCTCTTCTCCAACCCCTGTGGCTCACAGGAGTCACTGTGAAACCTCTCCCACCCCCGTGTGCTGTGCTGGCAGCGTGGCAGTGACACTGGGGTCTGTCAGGGACACCTGGGGCAGCACAGCCTCCCCAGCTAAAATTCACCTCATGGGCCAGCAGGCAGATCCGTGTCACCTGAGCTGTGTCCCTGCTCTCTGATCCATCACCTGCAGCAAAACATTTTGGGACAAGCAGTCCACAGAGAGCTTCTTGCAAAAAACACTGGATATTTTACCATAATACTGCTATTGCAAAGCCTAAATTGAATTAATGCTTTTAAAGACTTCCTGATCCTCTTGGATTAGGCCACCAGGGCTGCTTTTGGAAAAAACTAGACTAAGAGTGATAATCTGTCAAGATAACAATTCTGAGATGGGTTTTAAATGGAAAATATTGCATTCAGTTGCCAATTTCCCCTTCCCTGAAACTTTTGGAAGACTGAGCAGCACAGCTGCAACTTTATGCAGGAGTGTAGGAGCAGAAGTTGGAAGTAGGGTGATGGGAAGATGGGAAGTGGGCACTTTGAGGGGGAGGATTTCATCCAAATTACATCTAGAATCTCCTAAAATGTCACTGAAATATTTGAAGCAGAAGAAACTTGTTTCTTTGCATAACGTTTACTGAAGTCCAGGAATTTTGTCGTGTTTTGAGCAGTTTTTAATGTATTCTTCCTTTGGAAGGAACACTGTGAGGGGTGAAGAGAGCCTTATCTTGTGGGAAAACTGAAATTAAACTGTAATAACTGTAATACAGTTCTGTTTTTGTTTTTGTTTGTTTTTTTTTTTTTTTTTTTTCTTTTTTTTTTTTTTTTTTTTTTTTTTTTTTCTCAATAGTCTATTGGTCTTTACTGTTCCTGGAGGCAGACATCCCAAATCTCATCAACTGCTATCCCCTGTGATATTAATTAATACATTTACTGTGGTGTCCAAAACTATGTCACAGCCTAGCTAGAAACTTGAGCTACATTTTCAGCATAAGGACAGCTCCTGTCCTGTCAGGGTTTGTGTTTTAGGGTGGTGAGGCAAAGCTGCTCTTACTGTATGATATAAATTTCAGACTAGAGAGGTTTCAAACTTGAATTGTCCTGATAAGCCCATGCAAAATTGGAGGAGTAGAGAAATCCAACCTTAACACAACCCATATTTTAATCCACTTTCTATTAAGATAATTTGACAAAAAAAAAATTACTTTTGATGACTTCATATTGGTAAACCATAAAAAAAGAGTTTCTATTATTATTTCTTATTTGGCTGATTTCTTTAAGGCTACATCTTGTAGCTATTTTAATGGAAAACCAAAGTTACAGCTATTATCTGATGTTTCATCTAATTTGCTTTCTTCTAGTTTGAAGAAATAGCATGCTGTTAATGTAGGAAAAAAAGAGCAAGATAAAAGTACATTGAAGAAGTGAAATAATTTTCTATGAAGACCTCTCTGCAATACTATACATGGTATTGCATTTTATTTATTCACAGCTTTGCACTCGAAGCAAACTACAAGGAGATGAAACCTCAAGAGGAAAAGCCCTATGAAATGAGAACAAACAATATCAGAGCATAAGGTGTCCTGCTAACCTTTAAAAATGCAATTCAGTCCCACACAATTTTCCTCAATCAGAAGCAAATCTGCAGTTCTTTAGCAGCAAACCAATCAGTTGGGTTCTCACTCACTTTGATGTGTGAGTTGAAATTTAATACAGAAAAAGAAAAGACCTTTTGGGAAATCATATTAATGGAGGTTCATTTTCATTATGTCCAGTTTTCTTTCATTATTGGATACTTGTGGGGATAGGTCTTTTCCCTGGAGTGCCCTTCTCTAGATTATTTTGTTGTGTGTGTGTGCTTCTTCCTGTGCCTTGAAATCAGTGTGATATTCTGCTACTGCTTTCTCCCATCTTTTCCTGCTGTATTAATTTTACCTGTGAAATTCCATAGGTTAAAATTTCAGAATCGTTGCTCCCTCACTGCGCTTTGACCCATTTTATTTTTCTGTTCAGTGGCAGAATGTTGCTATTGCTCTCTAGGATAGATTCATTTGGAGCTTTATATGCAACCAAGGATCTTTGCATGATCTCAAGTGCTGAACAACAACCAAAAAGCGAAGTATTTTAGTAAATTGCTGGAGTTAATGACCCTTATGATGATCGAGGGTCATTATCTGCTTTTAGCTCCCTCTATTACCTCCTTCTCCTGCCTCAAAGCACTGGAGGTTGATTATCATAGTGAAGGAGTGCTCCTGTTTCACAGTGGAATCAGAGGCAACTGCACTTGCTCAGGAGTTGGGCTGCTGAGTGCCCCTGGGAGTGCAGGAGGTCATTCCTGGTTGTCAGAAATTCCAACACCTCAGATGGGCTTTTCCAGCAGCCCAGGCGGGCTCTGCTCTGTGCTGGAGCTGACCACTGCCTTGTGGGAGGCAGAGCAGGCTCAGTGCACGGAGCTCTCCCAAGCTCCCCTCGCCTGGCTGCATCCCAGGTTAGCAGGCAGCCAGTGGGAGCCAGAGTTAACTGAGCCTGCACGTGTCATGGAAACGGCTGGAGTACAGATAACTCCATTACTGCCACTCGTTATCCAATGCCATATTGATTTATTTTCAAATTACTTAATTTTTCAGTGTTCTGTACAGGTTAGAGATCCATCTTTTCAGCCACATGCCAAACTGCATGCTACACTGAGAATTATGGCTTTTATAACATTATATCAAATCAGGTAATTCTGTGTGTCTGTATAATGAAGTGTTGCATTAAGCTAAACTGAGCATTATGTCAAATTAAACTGTAGTTTAATTCTCAAATTTGAACCAGAAGTTACTTTGGGTTTGAGTAATCAGAGAGATGTGTGTGTACACATGTTTATTTCACCAGTTGTCTACAGATATCTACAGAAGAAAAAATGTTTAAATATTTAGAACTGACAAAGACCTGTGTTTAGAGCCATTAAAATCAAAGTTTCTCTTTGCTGATCCACTGCTGCTCACATCTGTTCACTGGGGTTCTCTCACCAGGTTAAGCCAGGACTGGATGTATCTGAGTTAAAACAAGACCAGCCTGGTTGGTAGGACAGTGGTTTGATCAAAGTGAGGTGTTTGGAATGCCTAAAGTCAGATAAAGACAGTCACAGATTTCCATATTTCAGAGGACATAGAAACTCCCCACTTGCAAATCATCTCTATTATTTTATTTTGACTACATCTAGGACAAAAGATGGGGCCTAGCAGCCTTCAGTCTCTATTAGCTACATTCCCATAACAAGGACATGGCAAGCTTTTTGAAAAAAAAAAAAAAAAAATTCAGAGTAATTACTATTGTGAATTATTGACCACTTGTTCCACATATTAGGAACTATTAACCTTGTTATCCATTATTTAAAGAACTATATCACTTCACAAAACTGAGTACTCTTAGGTGGCCAGCAAAAAGATTTTATTAAGTTGAAACAATTTTCTTTAATTATCCTTCAACAATTCACAGTCTAAGAACAATTGCCCTTTTAGCAAAATGAATATAATGAACCACTCCAGAGAGCTCATAGTTTGTGCTGTATAGGAATCTCTGTGTGTTGGTGTTAAATAGTGGAGAATTTTTGCAGCAGATGGAACCCATAAATTAGAGGAAAACCAAGAACAGAATCCAGAAAGGATCTGGGACTGGATTAGGGATAT